ACCTACTGTGGCCTTTCGGTACTTGAAGGGGGCTTATGAAAAGGAGGGAGAGCGAGTTTTTACACGGGCTGGTAGCGATAGGACAAAGGGGAATGGTTTTAAACTAAGAGGAGAGATTCAGACTTGCTTTTAGCAAGAAATTCCTCACTGTGAGGGTGGTGACACACTGGAAGAGGTTGCCCAGAAAGGTTGTGGATGCTCCATCCCTGGAAGTGTTCAAGGATGGGGCCCTGGACAACCTGATCTAGTGGGCAGCATCCCTGCCCATGGCAGGGGGTTGGAACTAGATGATCTCTAAGGTCCCTTCCAACCCAAATCATTCTGTGATTACATATGTACAGAGACCTCTCTCATTTTTCAGCTTTAGATCTTAGTTTAACATTTTTTCTTTAAAATCTGTTTGTATTCTACCTTGTTATCTGACTGCAATGCTCTTGCTGCCAGCAGCGTTTTGCAGAATTAAAAGCAGGTCCATTATTGCTGTAGGATGCTGCCTTCTGTCACTCTGGAGCACTGACAGCTGTGCCATGGATTGGAAGGCTCAGGTCTCGTTCTGTTAAAGCTAGATGGGTTTGGCTCACCTGGAAGCATTTATCAAAACAAAGAGAGCTTAGAAACTGAAGTTGTTCCCATGAGGAAAGCACCAGTACTGTGGCTTTGCCAATGTACAGGAACTTTTAAAGCCATCAAAAACATCCTTCCACACACAGAGACATGTAATCCCAAGAATATCTTTGTACAAGTTAAACTTTAAGATTAAACCAACATACAGCCTATGCTTTCTACAGAAAAAGTTGTTTTAGAGGTTTTAGACATGTCAGTAGTCTGTGCTTTCTTGGTTTGGGTTTGGGGTGAAGTTTTTTCAGATAAAGATTAATGAACAATTCCAAGGAACAAGTGCTGTCACTAGGAATGCTGCACTACACAATACAAACTACTATTTGGATTTTATACAAACTACAGTCAAGGAAAAAGAAGTTTTGACATTAACTTCAAAGGAGGAGTGATTTTTGTTATAGACTTAAATTTACTAACACTCATGAATATTTTGTCCAACAGAAAACCAGTTGTCTTGTACCTTGCAACTGCTGCATCTTGTTCTCTACTGTAACTTTGTGGGGAATCACTTGAAGTGATGAGTTTAAAAAAAATCCTTGAGAGGACTGGCAGTTACCAAGTCAACCTTGTCACTGCAGAAAAACACTGCAAGATCCACAGATCAAATTACGAAGTATCCTTAGATATCAGTGTCTTGTGAATACCTGGATATTTTAATGACTGCAAAGTATAGAGCAGAGAAAAAATTCAAGTTCCAGAAACAATTTTAGTGGGAGTATATGGCATAGTACTGTATGCCAACATTGTATCAGTACATTAAACCTTTAGCTCAGCACAGAAAATGCAGCAGTCAGTATAGTGTGGGAAAAAGGATGTTGGAGAAACCAATAAACTGCCAATATTCTTAAAATCCCCTATCAAGTAGCTGGGCAACAGTAAAGTTCTAGTCAGTTATTTCCATCTGCCAGGATTCCAACAGTATCTCTGGAAAATGAAAATACTAACTTCAGCCTGGACTTTTGGACAGTCATAAGCCATATATACATATATGTTACACATCTACAGCTGCAGAAGCCGACTGTCTAATGAACTTTCACACTGGGATAACTCAAACACTGTATCAGACACACTAGAAGATTTTCTGTGAGGATTCCCTTCAGTACAATCAGAATTAAGCTGACTACAACCAAAGCTTCCCCCTCTAAAAATGAGGGGATCATTATGCATGTACAAAACCTTTTATTTACCCTGTCTCAGTGATTAACTTCTCTTTCTGCCTGACCACTGCCCAGGAGCAGGACTGGCCTGAGAGGACTTACAGACTCATGGCTTAGGAATTATTCAGGACCACTGAACTCAGCTACTTTAGACAAGAATAGGGGAAGGACTGTTACAGGTTTCTGAGATCTGCACACATTAAAGTTTCAATGCACTGGACACTAATGTGTGCTTGACACATTTTGTTTAATATCAGCTGGTTACTAACTGCTTTCCACTGTTTCATCCTACAGACAAATCCGAAGGAAGGCTGTGGCAGTCTCTCCAAGTACCACTAATTTCTTCATCCTTATGATGAAGATTTTCCCTTATCTTCATAATCTACTTCTCTTCTCCTCCCAAAATGCAAAGTGTGTGCAACACCCTGTATTTAGGTCCCAACTAAAAGCAAGGGTTGCCAATGTCAGAAAGTTTGCCCTGCATGACACAGTTCAAAAAGGAAAGCACAAGACCTCCTGCCAAGTAACTTAACTAAACACCTAATTATCTGCTGTTCTATCTGTGCCTTTCAACACCTGAAAGAATCACAAGGTCTCAGTGAACTGTAGTAATCTGTGATTTACATCAGTCCATCTGTTCTTATAGTTACAGTTCAACCAGATTAAAGAAGGTAACACCATCGTGCATTAACACACACCCAGGCACTTGAAACACCCAAGAATTCATACTGTGGCATACAGAGACCTTGATAAGTTAGTATTAAGCCTAGCAGCAACATTCATTTCTTTTTGTTTGTTTTACTAAGTCCAGTACATCATGTACTGGTGGGAAATCTTGAAAATCCTTGAAGCTGCAAACTCAGCAGGACTGAAGTGAAATAAATAGGCTGCAAGGAGACAAAAATTAGCCACTGAAACTCAACACATTTTTTTCCAGCAATAGTATATTCTAAGGCACCTGTATTACTGATGCAGGGCAAAGTGGCCACTTAGTCTCTGTAGCTTGTTTAATCACTGGACACAAAGGATAACAAGACAGATCTATTTGTTGTTAAATCCAACCTTCCGAAGGAAAAAGCCCAGCTATCAATATCTTACCTCTTCTCAGTTAGGAAGAAAAAAGAAAAGCTTGCTTTTCTAGAAAGACCTACTTGTTCTTTTCTTCAGGCCAGGGGGAATTTTGAAAGAGCAATTTCTGAACTCACTTTCAACATACCTGCAAAAACATCTGGCTTGGCACTACCTGATTTATCATTCCCAGCACTCACAAACCTTTACACTGCATCAGCTGTCAGTGCCTTGCTCAGGATCACTACCAGGAGCGACTGCTTGCAAAGCCTCACTGAAATCTCCACCTTCACACACAGCAAGAACTTTCCAATATATTTGGCACTGTTTCCACAGTATGTTTCTAGAACAATCTGTTTCCACAAAACCACTGACCTTGCATTGGGATTTTCATCTTTTCAGTTGTCAGCTTAAAAGCTGCTGTCTGCACTGAGCAAGTGTTCATCAGTAATTTGATGCTAAATCTCCAGTTACCTCGTGAAGCTTTCCTTATTTGAGTGTTTCATTTCTTCTTAGCAGACAAACAGCAGAGGCACAACACCACGTTCTCAGTGAAAATACTTACAACCCAAGGATCTGGCTCAAATTTTGTTTGACTTCATCCAGGTATGTGCTGGACAGCAGCCTAACCTTCAGTAAAGTTTAGAGGGAAATGTCAACTTGAGATAGTTACAGCTCAACACCATTTACTGCCTGAGAGTGCTCTGGTGAGGCATTTGCAACAGGGTTATTATTCCAGACACATTTTTGCCCTGACAGAGCTCACAGCCAGCCTGTTCTGCAGTGCCCCAGCACCACATGGCAACAATTAGAACCTACAACACAAGCAGTCAAGATAAGGAAGCCACAACTTATTTCTTGCACTTTTAATATCACAAGAACAAGCTATGAAAACTTCTAATAATAATAAAAAAAGATAGAATATCAGGTAGGTGGTTTTTGGTTGGTTTTCTTTTTTTTTAGTTTTTTTAAAATTAATCTTACAAGAGGTCTTAAACAATTTGAAAAACTTACAAAATATATTCAAGTGTGGAAAGTTATTTTACTGGTAAAACAGCATTTCTTTATAATGTGCTTTTCTCCAGTTAGAGTAAGGAAGTGTAGGCATATCAGAACCATCAGACCAAACTATTCAGACCATCAGAAAAAATCCCTTTTCTCCATTCCAAGGAACAGCACAAGTATTTTAAATCAATTTAACTGTGGCATTCTAAAAAAACAAAGCAACATAAAACCAGTGACTGATAAAGACAATACAGGGAACATACACAAAAAATCTATCAAGTCTTCAGTTGCTGCAGTTTCGTATATGGAAGTGCTTGGCTCTTCAGCTGGCTTTGTTTCTGGTTGTACAAGAGTAACTTGGTATCAAACAAAAAAAATGGGAGCATGAACTCCAGTTTAGAGTTTGGAGCATAAACACACTCATTTTATAGATGCCCATTGTAAATTTTGGGTATTGCAGCAGAGTCAGCAACAGGGGACACTAAATCAGCTGGATGGTTTTGTACTGAATGAGATAAAAGAATTTTTGTGTTCTCTTCTGCTAATTTAAGCACAGAAGTTTTAGCAAGCAGCACAGAACTAGTATGAAAGAGATTTTTTGTTTGTGCCATTAGTTACTCAGTTGTAAAGCCACTGGTTGACTGTAATAGCTTCATTATCACTTAGTGTAATAAATAAAAATATTTTGCAAACCAGCATTTTCAGTTATAAAGAGCAAGAGCTAACTCTGGTAGTACTGAATCACCCCAAGTGATCCTCATTGAAGATTATGGAAATAGGCAGGAGTAACTGGCACTTTTCCCCAGCCCGAAGCAATTGCGTTGCAAAAAATTTCTCTACAAAACCCCTGGGTATGCATACCAAGTCTCATTCCAGCCATAGATCTTACTAACTAAGAGTTTAAGCTGGATTTGTCCAGCTAGGCCAGTTAGTTACCTTCCTAAGTCACGTTCCAAGTAGTGGTAGGTTTTTTTATTTGGTCAGTTTTTTTAATATTAACTGCAGGAGTCAGATTTAAAAGCAGCTTGCATTTGGATAGCATGAAAATAATAACTGAGAATAACATCTGGTTGAAACACTGCCTCATATATTCTAAATCTCCCAGTCTGCCTAGAAAAAGCTTAAAAATTACTATACAAATTCAAACTTGGATAAAAATATCCAAAAAGTATTTATTCACATGACAATCTTATCAGGTACTGATATAAGTGTGTGTTCTGGTGACCGCCTTCAAAGTCCAACAAGCCAATGCTACAGTTGCACCCATTACTACATTTTAAAAGGCAAAACCTGTTTTGTGTTTGCAAAGCAGATCTGTAACACCACTTACACAATCAAGAGCAAATTAAACAGCCAGTAGAGTACACCACACCAGTGTCACAGTTCAACAATGCTGTACCAGTTACAGGCAGGTTTAGGGTTATGTTGTCTTTTCAAACTTGTATAGGAAATACAAATATATGAACATTGTGTATTCTCTTAAGAACAAACAGTAATTAAATAGAGTGATCCTTTCTTCACTACATACAGAAATAACAACGTATTTACAATATTTACAGTTTTCAAAAATTCTGTTCCTGCACTGGTCTGCAGGAATTCAAATTCCTCAGCCTGAAAAATAGGTACACAATACTTCTGACCATAAACAGCCTCTGAATAGACACAAATTACTAATTCTAACTTACTGGTGTAAAGACTAGAGGGCCTGAAAAGGAAATACAGCTGCCCATTTCACCTAAACACTCCGTTATTTGTGGGATTATATCGCAAACTACAGATGCTTTAGGATGTTTTACACATGTCAGATATTGCTCATTTTCACAGTTTTCTCCATTTAAGCCATAGAACCAGTGAGCTGCAGCTGTAACTGCTTTCAGACTGCTGTTGTCATTATCACACGGGTTATGATGGGAGTTACAAGCTCCCCTCCTGTATTTTTAGTTACAAGCAAGTGCTCACAGATACAGCTACATTTTGGGGGTTGTTTGTTTGTTTTTTAGCTTAAAACAGAAACAGACCAATTTGAAACAAATCTGCTGATATCCAGATTTACTCTTAAGTTCCCAAGTTAAGACAGACACTCTTAACCTGCAGTCTTGAAAACTATTTTAAAGCAGCTGAAAGCTTTAAACTGCAAATTCAAAGCAAGACACACAAAACGCCCCAGAATCAATAATTCAAGGCCATGTTTACAAAGAACATGAAAAATACAGTAAAAACCTGCATGAGAGGAAGATAGTGTTTGTGGTGCAGAGCTGCTGTTCTTGAAAATAATTCAAGCACCTGTTCTGAATAACAGTACTGAAGAGAAAAATTGAAGGCTTCACAGTAATACACACTTTCAGTGCCACTTTGTAACTACAATGGTTCTTGAAAAGACAAAAAGGATTCAAAAGCTGCAGACTTAACATAGGAAAAATAGTCCAAACCTCATAGCAACAGAATGAACAGTTAAAGCAAACAGAAATCATGTTACCAACCTATTTCTAGGTCACTGTAAGACTTCAAAAGAAATATATTCAGTTTGAAGTCCTTTACATGCATGTGGCAAGTTGTTGGCACAGGAGCTCCGAATCATTCAGCATGCCCTACATGTGAATCCATGTAAATTAACCATGACCAAAGTCTGGGAAGCTCAGACCAGAAGGAAACCCGATGAGATTATTTAGTTCTATCACATCAGAGAAGGTAACATTACCTTTCCAATGGATTGAGAGATTTGCTCCTTTCACAAACAGTAGAAACCACTGCAATCCTTCCCAGCCTCTTACAACCAGGAGTAGGTAGCTTTCGGAATTCCATCCACATGCCACAAGCATCTTCTTCAAAAAAGAAGATGCTACTGTAAAAACAGGTCTTTTCAAGTTGAAAAAAAACTACATTTGGTCAGAATTGTATATGAATAGGATTTTGTACTTAAATAGCAGAGTTTGAGCATTCAGCAGCGGCAGCACAGCTGCATGTAAGGCATTTGAGGAATGATTCGAGTACAGCTCACTGCCTTCAGCACTTCACTAAATTCAACTAACACGAGCAACCTCTCACATTTTAAGATTATTACTAAAGCCGTGGTCACTGGAACCAACCCCGAAGGATCTGCGGACCTTCCATAACAACAGATGCAACACAAAGAGCGCGTGTGTTCCCTGGGGAGAACAGCTGCCTGCACAGTGGACTCCTTCGTGCCAAATGAGAGAGGTCACTGCCCTGGCAGTCCCTGCTAACTGGCCCAGTCCTGGAAGCGGAAGCAATCCCCGGCGATCTTCCACACGGTGTTGGTCGGGGTGGCCTGTGCTGTCAGCAAGAAGTTCTGATTGAAGTAGCGCTGCTTATCGCCATCAAATTTGACAGTCCCACTTGTCACCACGAGCACTGTTGTCTGGCCTTGAGTAGCTTGTTCTTCACAAGGAGGTATAAAATGATGAAGAAAACAACTCAAACAAAGACTAGCAGGTAAAGGAGCAGGAAATGCACAGAGAGGCTTCGTTCAATGTGGCTGTACCAGCGCCAGGGTAACACCAGCTGGTTCCACAGCGGGGCAGAACAGCTTTGGTGCCGCGTTTCTACACAGACAACGGTGGGTTCGCTCAACACGGCTCTGCAATGGCTTGGCCATTTTCACCTCCTGCTGTTCACTTAGAGCACTATGACAAACACCTCCATTTTTGCTCAGAATAACCTCTCATTACTTGAGATATACACACATATAGGTATTTAGCAAGTTGCATAGACTTTTTCCCCCCGTTATTAGACATTATATCTTTTCCACAGCAGAGCAAAGCAAGTGTGCTTGACCACAGGCTTTTTCCTTACTTATATTCCCAAAATGTCCATTAGAAGCAATTTATTAACTTCTCAGTTATGTAAGCCTTTCTTTAGCAGTTGTTAATCAGAAATCTAAAGAACTTAACATCTATTCTAGATGTAAAGAAATCAAAGTACACATAGGTTAATAAAGATTTGTTCCACGTTATACTGCAGATCAGGACCAGAGGCCACCATAGAGGTCTCTCAAGGACAACATAACCTGATAAATCAAGACCTTTTCCATACACAAAAATACATCATTTCTGAATATGATCTCTTAACAAAAAAGTCCTTAAAATATTTTCCCAGACATGAGAAAAAGTGTAGAGCTGCTGCATCTTTTGATTTGTGCTTTATTTATGCACAACTTGACATTTCAACCCTTGGTATTTTCTCTAAGCTTATTCCAAAGGAAATATTAAGCCCTATTATAATTTCATTTCACTTTTAATAGTTAGAAAGCCCTGAAAAATAGATAAATTATAACACAACCTTACCGTGAACAGGCTGGCAGTCCAACACATTAACCTGGAACTCACTTGATGGCAACATTTCAAAAAATTTATTTAGTTCTTCTTGCCCAGACACTGCATTCCCATTCCAAACTAACGTGGCTTTGTCCAAATATAGTCTGGTTAAAGCCTGAATGATTATGAAAATACACATTTAGGAAAAATATGTAAACATACAGTGGACAACATACAAAACCTGCCCCCCTGCACTGATCAAACCCTGCTCCTGTAAGACACAGGTGCACACAAACTGAACTCGGGCCATGAAGAAGTGAAAGGCACTTCCCTTTTTACAGCAGGGCTGCACAGGAACATAAAACCCTCTGCAGGGCAGCCCCTGAGGCACAGAGGACTCAGCCTGGCCAACACAACACATGGTAACCCACGGGCAGGTGCTTCCTGTGTAATGCCAGTTAGAAAAGTAATAAAAAGTGCACAAGACAATTTAAACTATTGTCAAAAATCTACATACCCTTCTCCTCTTATCCATTGTCTCATAATAAATATTGACAAACTCATCTGCAGCTCTACAAGCTTGATCCACATAGGTTTTGAAATCCTGGAGGGAAGAAATCAGATCAAATTATTAAAGTTACACAACCCAATCATTTATGCAATTTCTACTGCAAGTTGCTTTGATTGGTCTTTTCCATCCTCACTGAAGACGGTATCAAATAATGTTGAAATTTATTCTAAACTCCTTTTCTACTTGCAGCAAGTGCCAGCTTTTAGCCAGGTGACAGTTTTAGAATTAATTTTGAATGCTGATATATTTCTTGTATTTAAATTACAAATATTTACATTGGAAAACGGGCTACAGCTGGCTACAGGTGCTGTGGACACGAAAGTATTCGGGGAAAATAGTTGTTGCTGTGATGGCTGTTCTGGAATAAAGTTAAGGAACAAGATTTATTCAATATATTTCTGAGAATTAGCATGAACCCCATCACACTGCCAGCCTAGTCTCATTTTTTAAAACACCTTTATATACAAATACAAAATATAATGAGAGAGAACACCAACATGCTGGATGTATCTGTTCCAGTACCACTCAGTGCTGTATCCACAAGTAAAAACCAAACATTTCTCACACCTCATCACTTCCCTTACATTTCTCTACTTTTATTCATCCCCAGGCCACAACCTGTGCTGTCCCATCCCTGCACTGTGATCTCACTGGGTTATCTGCTCAGTTTTTCAGCTGCTTGGCCCTTGATCTCTTACAGACCCTGAACTGGGACACTCTAGAAAACAGATTCTGAATTTCCTGTCCATACTGAACAGGTTCTGTTATGATAACTGCACTTGGTTCTGTTATGATAACTTGTTTTAGATGCTATTATTTATCATTATTCTACTTCAGCACTGTGCTCTCACTACCTGCAATTCAATCAGTGCTGCACAACTGAACTACTTACATTTTCCTGGAAACCTTTACTGAATAGACACCAGAACTACTGAATTCCTCCAGTATCATCATGGCAAACACCTCTCTACTCAGAGAAAGCTCTACACTGCAAAATAACCACCAGGCTAGCAAATAATCCCTGTTTAGTCAGCAAAGTCAAACACTCTCATGTTACTATGCTCTATTTTTTCTCTCCCTCTGTAGGGACATGAGCCTGCTCTTCACCTTCCCCAGCAATTCCCCAACCCACAGGCTAATTCCAAACACATGTGACAAAGTAGTGTCAGAGATGCTGTATCCCAGAAAATGCCCAGAGAAACTCCCTGGCACTGGAGACAAGGAGTGTCAGAGTTGGCCCTGAGAACAAGGACTGCAGCTCTGCCTGTGGTGTCGGAGCAGGTGCTGTGTCCCCTCAGCCAGGATGACACTGCACTAACTCTCCCCAGTCGGCACTAACCATTCCCATTTAGCTCCAAATAGATGGAATGGGTGTGAGGGAGGGCACTGTAGAAACACCAGGAGACTGCAACGAGCTGTTGGGGTACCTGGAACAGGAGTCAAGTAGGAAATGAGCTCTGATGGCTTTGATGCCCCAGACAAGTTTTTACAGCCGTAGCCCAGCACTCATTTTTAAATTCTGAGAATAGTTTAGGCTGGAATAAAATTCTGGAGGCCTAATCTGGTCCTAAACCCTTCCCAAAGCAGAGCTGACTCCAAGGGTTGATTCCCTTCCCAGGCTGTATCTGACTGCCCAGTGTCTGACTGTCCCGTGCCGCCTTCGGACACCTCCGAGGGTGGCGATGTCACAGTTTCCTCGGGCTCCTGTTCCAATGACCAACCACCTCACTCAGCAACCTTCCTTCCCAGCAGTTAAGAGGAAAGCCATAACTGGAAAAAAAACAACCAACCCAAAACAACCCTCTCGAAGACTCTGGCGACAACTCCAAGCAGTTTCCCAACCTAGCCGGGCCCCGCCGACGTCTCCCCGAGCCCCTCCCTGCCCTCAGGCGGCTGTGGAGGACCCCACCCGCTCTGGGACCCGGGGCAGGCGGGCCCCCCCGCCCCCGCGCCCTGAGGCCCGCCCCCCGCACGGGGCCGGACACGTCCCGCGGCCCCCCGAGCTCCCACGCCCGCCCGCCCAGCACCCCCCCCCCGACACGGCGCCCCCCCCCCCGCGCGCGCGCGTCCGGGCCGGGCGGCCCGCCCCCGGACTCACCACGGACGCGGCCATGGGCGCGAGGCGGGAGGCGCCGGAATGCACACGGGACGGTTCCGCCGCGCCGCGGGGCCCCCGCGAGCGTTCCGCCCGCAAACCCGCTCCGGCCGCCAGCGGGGACTCGATTCCATGAACAATAATGCCAACCTTCAAAGTCATTAGCTGCTGGAAATCCCCCCAGACAGATGATACTAAAAAAAAAAAAAAGAATTAAAGTTTTAATCACAATTAAACAAGATGATGTATTTCTCCATTTGCATGGAGATAGGAAGCAATTCTTAGAAGTGACTGATTTAGAACTTCAGCCAAATGCACTTGAAATATCATAACTAATGATAAGTAACGATGTACCAGGATTTCAGAAATGCATTCAGCCATCTGGGTTAGGACAGATGTTGTTTTCATCAGTTGATTGATTGAAATCAATTAAAATGGATAACAAAGTGCTGGATGATTTCAGAATTGCTGACAAAATTACGGATTTTTATTGTGAATTATTTGATACTGGGCAAACCACGACCACGGAATGAAAATGGAATTCAATCTCCAACAGGATGGAAAGAGTTCATGTTTTCCCACAGAACCCTCACATGACAATTATGCACGCTTACATTAGTACCTATGCAAAAATGAAGACAGACTGCACATTGCCAGGCTGCCTTTCCAATGAACCTTCTTCTGTGTCACAGACAACTCTGATATTTCTGTAATGACTTCAGTTACAGACTAAAATAAGATCTATGGGTCCTGATCTCCCTTGATAAAATGAATAGCCCTTAGTTTTGCAAATACAGTCTTGCTGGACCTGGATTAATGAGTTTGTAATTTTCAGGGGTTTATAATTTATTCCCCTCTAAGGTTACATAATTAACATTGACAGATTTCCAGTTGAACATCCTCTATTAAAAGAACCCAACAAACTACAATGCTTTTTAATTTATTGATTGAGAATATAAGTAACATTACTGGAACCATAACACACTTGAATTCTGCAGCTCCAAAATCTCACTGCAGTGCTGTACACAACACTGAAGGGCAAGTCCAGGAGGCAGCAGAAGGCAAATATTCCAAATTCCCATAGCCATTCTACTGAATAGAGACCAAAGAAATGATCCATGGGCTATATCAGTGAATAAAGTCAAACTGGTAGGTTCACTATCTCATTATGAGGCTTATCAGCCTTCATGGATCACATGGTGCCAACAGCATCACTGTTCCCAATGTCCCACTGAGAGCTCAGAGATTTAGCAGATACGGTGACATTTGCCAGAAGAATTCCCTCAAGGAAGCGATTCACACAACCCTTCAGCTCTCAAGCTGCTAAAGCAGCATCTGTGAAGGCTCTCATGCAGTCATATGGGTCATGTGGACTGTCCTCTGTGACCACGAACCTTTATGAATCGTGAATGGTTCTTGTGAAAGACAATACTCTCAACTGATGTTACCAAAGAGTGCAGTGATGCTGCCCAGATGGAGAGAAGTTTAAGGAACTGTCTCCTAAACTGAGGGAAGCAACTGGCACTGGCCAAATCCAGACAGATTCTGATTAATGAGGTGCCTATGAAACTGGATCATGACTCAGTGTTCGAGGGTTTTGCCTGAGCAAGGGCTGAGTGGGAACTCGACAATTTGATCTGATGATTTTAGTGGGAACTGGGAGTTAAGTCTCAGGTGCTCAGCACATTGGCACTTTGACCTACAGGTTGGGTACAAAAGTAATGCTAAAGCTGGAATTGGGATTTACTAAACTACACTGGGCTTAAGAAAGCCTTGTTTGGACAGTTCCCAACACAAAAGGCATATTTCTCTGGGTAGACCCAGGCAGAACCTGTGCTTGTTACAGTCCCATGGGGACTCTGGACTATGCACCACTCCACCTCAAATTTCTATCATACCAGAACTGCAGGAATGTAATGACTCTTATCCTGATAAATACCCCTATTGTTTTTTAAAGAAAAACAGGACTTGCTATATATTGAAGTGGTAACTGTATCCACTGGGATACAATGAGATCAAGTACAAATAACTGTTCCATTTTGCTCCATGTCAAAGCAGTCCCAAGTGGGGATAAGTTTTCAGAACAGGTCAGTTCAAAGTGTCACCACAGTTGCTAGTTAAAGAAATTTTAAAATCCTCTTCATTTCATTAGGTAATGAAGCAGTAATTCAGCTCAGATTTGTGAAAATCTAGCCATACACAAGCTAAACATATGGCCAGATAAACATATTTGTGGGGTTTTTCCTCCAATATCTTTTCCCCTTCAAAAAAGAAACACTTTTGAGAATAGTAAAATTTAGTTTGAAGTCAATTTAATGAATATTTTTGGATCAGCTATAGATGGAGCACTAACCACTGCACATTATAGATTTAATAGAACCACTGTGCAGAGTTCACTCATGAGCAGGCCTGAAGGGCTGGAATTATGGTTTATGTGCTCTCTGAAATTGTTAGCTCAGGTCAGCTTGTAGCATATTCTGAGCTCAGTTTACACTTGGCTTAGACCTCAGTGCTGGGCACTGGTAGGTTGCCCACAACAATTAACTGGTTAGTGGGATGACTTAACAACAATCAAATGCTAAGTAATATTTCTCCAGGCCAAACGTACCTGTGACCATTTAAGAAATCATTTTCCAGTAAAGAACCATTTACTTCCAGCTGGAAATAAAGAGTTTTGTCACTTGTTTTTCTTTATAAATGGAAGAATTAGGAAAATCCTGTACGATTATTGAGTACATGCTTTCAGATGTTTTACTTTTATTTCTGAATACTGCAAAATATTGAGCACTGTCTGATCATCTGACCTGTGGTTCTGTACTCAGCTGATCTGGCACACAGCTCTGCAGCAGGGACAGCAGTGTACCTCTCTTTTCGACTTTCTCTGCTCTCTGAATTACTACAATGGTACCAAATATTCCCTAAAATATCAGTGATCCAGTAGTCAACTCTTTAAAAATGGCAAAACTCCCACTAACTTTAATGGAAACAAGATCTGGCCTTTGCTTTGTTTGTTGAGTCTGAATAGGGAATAAACAAAGCTTCTTCAAAATGTACCTTTAACCAGTACCTCAGTTCCAAAGTCCCAGTGCTCAAGCTCCAGTTTTAGCAAATATCTTGGCTAAATGTCAAACAATTCCATCAGCTCTTTGAAGGCAAATATTAGACAGAGACTGCATCTGAAATAATTTCCCCAAACACCATTCAATTAACCTACTTGGCTAAAAGGTGATGCAAAAATCAATATTTTGTAACAGAGGCATGTGTTTCAGAGGAAACTAATCAATAGGTATCAGAACAATTTCAAATTACAAACAAATATAGACAAAGTTAAAATATCAAGCAGTTTAGGTATCCAATGCATTGCAACTCAAAACAGCTCTATTATTTTAGGCAGGGTATTCCTGCTGTTACAATTTCAACATGTCATTGCTTTTATTGAATTATTTTCCTTAAATAAAAATAATTACTGTAATTTTGGGAGAACTCACAAAAGAGATGTGAGTTTCCCTGTTGGTCCTTCATCAGCTGGAACTGTGCATTAGATTTCCTCTGAGACAGCAGTTGGAATAGACCTCAATATTTGGAATTTTTCTGTTTGTTTTTCATGAGCCGTTTTTATCCCCCTATTCCTTCTAACCTTGTACATACATATGAGATGAAAACAAGAGGAGACCCATCTCAGAACCCAGACGATAAATTTTTAGCATCAGAGGGTGTGTGATTTTGTACCTCCAGTAAGAAAAGTTTCTCATTCACAAACCTTTTAACAGGAAGGGCTGTCAGGGAAGGAAGAGCTGTACAAAGTGAGCTGATTCTCAATTGTTTTGAGGGTGCTGTGAAGGCAACCCCCTCTGTGTGCTTCCTTTGAAGGCAGTGTAGACATGGAACAGCCCTGGAGATCCTGGAACTCAGATGTCCTAAAAGGTTGCCCCTGGTGACAAAACAGTAAGTCTGCCATCTTTGCCAGTGAAGACTTGCAGGGAGGCCACCATCTACTATTCTTTTTCCCAAGTATTCTAAGACCTGAATTAGACCAAAAGAAAAACGTAAGACCTGATTGTGAATGTGCCCATTCCTCCAATAATTTTAAGGAATATCTGCTAAAACAGCAATGAGAAGAAAGGCTGAAGAGCAAGTCCAGGCACAAGCTTCCTTTTTCACCTTTACTCTTTTATAGGTTCTATATATTTATGAAGACCCAAAGCTAGGTCATTGTCAAACCTCTTCTGTAACAGCCTAATCTATTTTTCTTTGAGAAGTTACAGCCTTTGGAATGAATCACACAGGAATCTTGCAACATTTGTACTGCATTTACCAAATACTCAGTAGGATGAACTCCCATTCCCACTGCAGTTATTAATAACAAACTCTGCATTGCTGCAGTGTAAATACTGATTCACCAAAGAACACTAAATCTGATTATTAACTCCCATGATTGCACTAGTCTGCAAAGAGAAATATATTTAAAAAACATAGTAGTAAGTAGGGGGGGAACACAAGCTGTGAGTGATTTACAAGAACCTTTACGATTTTATCACCAAACAGATAAGAAAGGTAAACAGTCAGAAAAAAAAACAAGCCCTAAGACATTACATCAAAGTGAGAAAAGGGATTATCATCTTTAAAAAATCATTATCCATGTTGCTATTCTCTAGATATGAATATTCTCTTCAGAAAGAGAAAGACCATATCAATGGAGTCAGAAACAAGAGATTTCCTAGATGACCTTTGGATTTTTATTTCAAGATTATTTTGTAAGGACACTGAGAGATATTCTTTCCTTTTGGGGCACTAAAATAGATCAGATAATAGCAGGATTCAGGGCACACTTTTAAACCCAGTCAAATCTTATTCAGGGACCTGGCTGGCATTTACTATCAATCCAGGTTCAGTTTCCAGAAAGGAGGCAATTTCCTCTATAAAGGTTCAGCCATTGTTGCACCTGGCACAGTGTCCCAATGGGAAAATGGAGATACAGATAAGCTATCTACAGGTAAAATATTCTCTCTGCTTCTGCACAATGTCAGTATATCTAAAAGACAAACTACAGGAAAAGTGAGCATCTCCTGTAATTGTGATTTTAAAAATCAAGGTGAATATGCTCATAGAATTATATTAGGCTGTGTCTCTAAATTCTTATCAAGACTCATTATAAATCATCTCCCTTTTATTTACATTTCAACACATTAATACA